AGTCCAACAGTAGTCTGCAAGCATGGAAGGATTCCACTTTCCCTGGTACCTTTTTTCCATTGTTGAAATATCCTGATGAAAACGTTCGCCGTGCTCATCACTTACGGCTCCGCAATTGTCAGGAAAAAAGTCCAGGGGTGAGTGTAGGAAATGTATCTTAAGAGACATATTACAGCCCATCTTTTGATACGGTGACAGCATATTTTTGACAAGGGTTTTATAGTTGTCAGCTTTTCTATTTCCCAAGAAATTAGTGACCACCAGACGGAAATCATTCCAAGCAGGTTTTTCAATACCTGTTAAACTGTTTTCAAACTGTGTATCTTTCAAAATATTTCGAATCTGTGGCCCAACAAAAAAACCTTCTTTAACCTTTGCCTCACTTAGTCTTGGAAATTTCTGACGCAGGTATTGAAAAGCTGGCCCATCTCTATCTAATGCCTTGACAAAGTCTTTCATTAGGCCCAACTTGATATGCAGTGGTGGTAATAAAAATGTTTTCGAATCTACTAATGGCATATGCTGTACATTTTTTTGACCTGGCTCTAGGATTTGACGAACAGGCCAGTTTTGTCTGGTGTAATGAAGTGCCTTTGCCCGACTGTCCTATTCACACAAAAAACAGCAAAACTTTGTCTAGCCTAGTTGCAGCCCAAGTAAAAGTGCAACAACTTTCAAATCGCCACAAATATGCCATTGGTGCTCATCGTATTTTATGCATGTCAATAGGTACTTCATATTATCATATGATTCTTTCATGTGAACTGCATACCCTACAGGAAGAGATTGTAAAATATTTCCAATATGCAATAACACTGCCTTTAAACTCAATGTTGAACTGTCTATAAACAATCTCCATTCTTCTGGGTTATAGTTTATATTTAAAGCCGCCAGTAAGCCGTTAATGTTACTGCAGAAAACCAAGTTATTCTCCAAATTGAAAAATGGTTCTAAGTCTTTGTGGCGTTTACGAAAAACACATACCGAAACATCGTCTTCTAACAAGTTCCACTGCTGCAGTCTTGATACAAGTAACTCTGCCTTACATTTTGGAAGTTCTAAATCTCTTACAAGATCATTTAATTCTGACTGTGTTATTTTGTGCGGTTGGTGACATGACGTGCTCGGTATAAAATCAGGATCTCTTGACGTTGATGGCATATCTTCTTCCTGACGAATCACTCAATCGCCATGATTCGTTTTTTGATTCGCAAGTGTAGGATTCTGGAGGTTTTGGAATAGGATTTTCGTCACTGTGAGGCACAGGTCTCATCGCAGATGGTATGTTTGGGTAGTTGATAACCGATTTTTTTTTCTTGGACATACCTGTGGCTTGTCCAACACAAGGTACCATGCAAAAGTAACAATCATTAATATGATTTGTAGGCTCTCTCCAAACCATTGGGACAGCAAAGCGCATAGACCGTTTTTTGCCATTTAACCAGCTCCTCAGACTTGAAGCACATGTATTACAGCAGATGTGGGGTGCCCACTGTTTGTCTTGATCACCTAGTTTACAACCGAAATAAAGCTGATATGCCTTTTTTAATAGTGGAGTAATAGACCGTCTCCACACACGTAACAAAACTGATCTGGATTGTTTACACACTTTCGAGACATCTTGCATGAACGCTGTCAGCCAACTGAGGAAAAAATGGCTAATATAAAACAATATAATGTACACGTATGTATAACGTAACACAATTATGCCGATTACATCATCTTTCCTTGCCGAATATAAAAATGTAGCACGTGAATTCTTGTGAATTACAGTATATTAACACTGTCACAGCAGGAACACATATAATTACCGTATCTCTAAAACTTGAACTAATATTGAAAAAATAAGTTTCATTCCGGTTTTAGCACATTAAAAATAGTAATATTTTGTTGATTTTATTTAGGATATTTTTTGGCTGTTGATCAGAGTTATTTAAACAGGAACTACAATGTGTTGGGTCAAGTCTCAACATTAAGAGATATTAGACTATTCTGAAATGGCTGAATAATATTTACGAGGTCTGTAAATTAAGCAATGATCCTGGCATTCGATCTGGCAACACTGGAGGCGAGAGAAAACAGGGGAACATGTGATCCACCTTAAGTACAAGTTTGAACTCGTTTGAGTTTGTGTTCTTAAATAAATGACATCAATTTCGAGCAACGGTGTACTCTCAGGTTTTGCGTCAGGCTTCTCGCAGGGCAACAAAAACTTTTGCTAAGCTTCAGCAGGCCTACGCAGATAGTGTTTTGTCGAGAGCCCAGGGTTATCGGTGGTTTAAGGCATTTTCAGAATGGAGAAAGTCGACTGTAGATGAACCTTTTCCCGAGTTTTAAAAATCGTCACAAGGGACAGTCGAAAACATTGAAATGGCTGTAACCAACCAGGTGAAGGATATTCGATTATCGGAGATCCAGCACTGCTATCGGCAGTTAATGAACCGTCTCGAGGGCTGTGTGACTTGAGTATTGACAATATAAAAGTGTAATCATATTTGAATAAAAAAACAAACCCTCAACATAGCATGTTGTAAAGAACTAAAACTAAAATAATTAAGCATTATAAAATCATACATGGTTCCTTCAAATCGCAGTTGCATTATACCGGAGCTTCAGATGGCGCATCACTTAAAGTATTAGGACCCAAATCAATCAACTTGACCTCCCAGAAGAGCAGTTGAAACAAAGCGAGCAACAAACAAGCAATGTTTTCCTTTAATGAAATTTGTCATACGTATTTATTCATGAGCGACGTTATAGCACCTGTACTTACTTGTGGCAGACTGCAGAAGATACATACCTGAAATAGAAACAAAAGTTAATACACGTATCGTCAACCACATACTAAGAGATTAATACAATAGTATACGCATATAACTTTGGTCATATGTTAGAAAAACCAAAACCTATAGGTAGTGTGTCCCAGATTCGCTTCTCTATTCAGGGATCTCGGCCCCTGCTATACCTAGAGCAAAGGCTAAATGGGGAAAGTTTTGGAGGAAACTTAGTGCATTCGATAGCCGGCTTCAGATTTCCGATCGTTCAATTGGTTTTGGAAATATCGGCGAAAAACAGAAAATATCGAATTTTGTTTTTTGTCAGTAAATCGGAAACAGCTAATTTGACAGCTGTCAAAATGTGACATTATAAGGACTTCGCACAACCTAGAACAAACTATAGAACGAGAATTTGGTGTGTGTCAAAATCAACAGAGAGTGTTAAATGAGGATAAGTACCATCCTTACAAACAGACAATAATTCAAGGACTGATTTTCCAAGGCGAACGCACTTCTGTGTGTGGTATACTAGGAATTCTAATGAGAATGCCGATTTTGTAAATCCTGCCTTGTGGTTCGATGAAAGTAGGTTCACGAATTGTGGAGTTTTTAATATGCATTGAGCTGTGGAAAACCCCCACGAGGTGGCAGAGAGACGTCTACCGACCACATTTGAAGCTAACTTTTGGTGTGGAGTCATTGGTAATTTAAACTAACTCACCTTTTTTAACTGGGAACCTATTTGAAGTTAGGTATTAATCATTTCAGGAAGTCGAGTTATAGGACCATTTTTGTTTGACAATCTAAACCAGAGTTCCCCAAACTTTTTTGTGTCGTAGACCCCTTGCCATGTTTTTCCGTGTTACCTGATATTGATTTCCTGTGAATTTCTAACTGTAGTGAAGTTTAGTGTTAAAAACTTAAAGTAAAAACACATGTTAATTTATACATTTATTAATTGAATGTAAATTAAAACTGCTCAAAATAAAATTTTGTATCTGTTATCTAAAATATACGTAACATTAAATAAACAGGTGTCTGACCAATAAGTGCCCGCATTGAAAAAAAAAATAAGAGTGATAAAATAAAAAAAAAGTGAAATATAATTAAAAAAAAAGGTTTTTACTTAAAATAGTACAATAAGCGAGTTCTTTTATTAACTATAACATAAACGTATGTTCTACAATAATTTCACTGTTAGTTGAGTGATGAAATTCCGCTTCTTATACGTTTAAGTTATCTAAAAATAGGCAAAAAATTAACGAATTTTAGAATAATTTTTAAAAAAAAATATTTTCTATAAAGGGGGGTTCTTTAAAAAAATGAATGCGGGCACTTATTCCCAATGCGGGCATTTATTGGTCAGACACCAATAAACATAAAATAAACTATCAATAAAATAACATAAGCAATAAGTCAATATTTTTAGTGAGAAGGATACACCTGATGCTTTAATAATAAACCATCAACATTTGGCGTCAATTTTGTAAGGGTTAATCTTAAATCTCCTCGGCTAATGATGTCCAGTCTGCTTCTTTTTTTCGTTAGGAGATTGGTAACAGCGTTGAACCCCCTTTCCACTGGGTATGACGATGGAAGGGAAATTAAAAATTTCTTCGGGATAAGTAACGGGTATGTTGTTTTGCAGCCAGATTTGCTGATATCCGTTTCTAAACTGAACCCTAAGTTCTTCGTTTGTACTTAGTTCAGTCAATTCCTCTTGCATTACGACATTCGCTTCTTCTATGTCACCATATGGATTAATTATCCACGGTGGTATTACCATAGTCAAAATATCCTCAAACCTAGATTCAAAATCTGAATAGAGGGCATTTAAATGTTGAACGTAAGTTGAAACGTCGTCTTCCTGGCAGCTTGTCTGTGACAAATTGGGGAACTGAGAAAATTCGCCCCGTCCAATATTTTGCTTCATTTGTTTATCTCTGGCAAGAGACGCTGATAAGATGGACTTTGGTTTTAATTAAATTTAAACTGTCGCCTTGTAATTGCAAATTAACCATATTAAATTTTGTAAACAAATCTTTTAAATAGGCGATGTCTGTTTTCCTCTTCATTAAATTTTCTTTTAAAATTTTATCTTTAGTATCCAGAAATTCTAAAATAGTCTCAAAAAGTGCAAAAAATCTTGTCAAACATAAGCCTTTCGACAGCCAGCGTACTTCAGTGTGAAGGAGTAACTGATGAAAGTGTTCGTCATTTTCTTCACACAAATAACCGCGTATTCAACGCGTTGCTTCGGATTCGGTTTACTGCATCAATGACTAAATGAAGTGATTCCTGCAATCTAACACACAAATTTTTAGCAACTAAATGTTGTCGATGGATGACGCAATGTATTGCTAACACCCCTGACACATTTTGTTTTAAATAGCTTATAAATCCACGATAACGTCCAACCATGGCAGGTGCTCCATCTGTAGCTACTGATATTATATTTGATAAAGGAATTGCTTTTTCAATGAAGTAATCCGTCAAAACATGAAATATTGATTCGCCTTTAGTGTCGGTTATCAAAGTTCTTGCGAAGAGCAGTTCTTCGTAGATTTATTGATTCATAATAAAACGAACATATGCCAATAATAATGCTGCATGATCAGGTAAAGTTGACTCGTCCAGTTGTATAGAGAAATTGGTCGTTTGCAAATAATTACATAAGAAGCTTTCAATATCAGAACTCTTTTCATCAATACGTCTTTCAACAGTATTGTTGCTTAAGGTAATTCTTTTAATGATATCAGATGCAGGTTTGTGTAAAACAGTTTTTAAAACCTCTTCAACGGCTGGCAAAATTAAATTCTCTCCGATAGTATACGGTTTTCGGGATCTTGCTATAAGTAACGAGATATTGTAAGACGCCCGCAAACCATCATCATTTCTTTGTGACGTCGAAGCGAACATTCAGGGTGGCATCTTCTCAGATGAGCTTGCAGTTTAGATGGTTTCATAGCGTTATTGCCCAAAACTTTGTTGCATAAAAGGCACATAGGCGATTGTTTGTCCGGCAATGATGGAATGAAGCCAAATTTCAAATAATTATCACTGTACTGTCTACATTTCTTTTTAGATTCGGACATGGCATCAGTCATCTGTGGGCAAAATTAAATTATTTAAATAAGACAGAAAATCCAGCAGCTGTATACTAAAAATATTTTTTGATTTTTCCGAAAACATTCCATAATTCGAACATCTTGCAACAATTAGCTCTAATTACGGAGATTGCACTGTAATTATATTACGGATTGCTAAAACTTTAAAAAAGAAGCTATTGAGGAGCACTCGTGTAATTTTGCATGATTGAATATTTAACTACTAATAACTAAAGTCATGATTGGCGTAATTTATCTATCTTTGCTAACTACGAGTACAAAACTAAAATTTAATAAAAAATAATGTACTTACTTTTCTCCAGCACTCTCAAACAAAATAATACTGACTCACTATAATTTGTGTGATATACTATCTGTTGGTATTTTTTAAAATATTTTCTTAGCATTTTCCTTTTCAAGATTCAGGAAACGAATAAACGTATGTGTCCCACATTCGTATTTATAGAGTGACGAATTGAACAAGTCAGTGCAAGGTAGCGAAGCTCTGAGACTGCGACTCTCAGGTTTTTACAAGTTCAAAATGTATTGCGACCATAAAGCGAATACCAACATCGTACAACTTACACAATTTTATAAACATATATAATAAATTTTTTACTTCATAGGTACTTTTATAAATAATGTATATGTTTTGATATTATAAGATATTAGTAAGTAAATAGGTACTATCAGTGTATGTGTTGAGATCCACTATCGTGGACCCCCATATTCATTTCATGGACCCCCAAATATTTTTTTTCGCTGACGTAGACCCTTTGCAGGTTGTCATAGACCCCTAGGGGTCGATATAGACCACTTTGAGGTACCTAGAGCTTTTGAGAAACCAGGTTGTGCCGGCTTTACGAGCTAGTCTAACCGAAGATGATTTTAGAAGAACCTGCTCTCAACAGGATGGATGTCCGGCTAACAACACCATTCAAGTCAGGAACTTCTTAAGAGAGCAGTTTGATGAAATAATAGTTTCATTAAGTGGTTCAATATCTTGGCGTCCTAGATCCCCAGACCTTTCACTCTTGGATTTCTACCTCTGGGGTCACACAAAGAACGAGTTCCTTTGATTTGATACTCTTGCGACTATAGAGATTTACAGACAAAGCATAGTTAGAAATATTATCAGGAATACACTTGTTAAGGTTGTACAAAAGACAGTCTTTACATTTCAATTTTGTAAAACGTTTGTTAAATAAATTTACGACGACTTTTTTTAGCACACTCATGGAAAAACTTTGGACTCATGAACATTTTTGTTATACGTGTTGGAGTCTAAACAATGGTAATTTTTGATGGAATCAGCCGGAAGCCAAAGGTCTCTGCGGGATCTCCTTCGATAGGCTCAACTCGGCAACACCGATTGTTGCCAATGCATTTTTCCTTGGTGCCCCCACAGATAAATCAACGTACGCGAGGGAAGATTTACTCCTATCATTATGTCAATTATGAGACGGCGAAGACTGGGACCGGCGTCCGAGGCACGGCCGATGGGCCTTTGCACTGATTTATCTCGCTGACGCAGTCGCTCGTTGGGCCTGCTCATTGTGCACTTGCAATTGACAGTAAATTATTGACATCGGGCGATATATGGAACAAGACCAAGAAAATGTATCATTTGCATCTGAAGCAGGAGATCCAGGTTGAAGGCACCGAATATTTTACCATACAAATAAAGGTAGCTTCAATTGATTGTATCAGATGGGTTAATTGAGAGGGGTTGAACCGAATTGGGGGAAGCCCGGTATGACAGCACAATGAATTTCGTAATACAAACATCTTTCGGAAACAATAATTCTTCGTATACATAAACTTTTCTATACCGAGTGATTCTCCAAGGTGGCTCGCCCCTATAACTGTTTTATTATTGAAGATAGAATAATAAAATTTGTGGGTTGTATATTATACAGGGTGACTTCGAAGTTGAGTCATTTATTTTAACAGTGAGTAGATCTGATCAAAAGAAATGTTTTTTTTCTTTAACATTTTTCTGGTAAAATTAAAGTAACAAAGTTATAGCCCTTTAGAAGTTTGAGTACCGCCCTGTCTCAATAATAATATTATGTGCTCGTGACAACGGATATAATCTGCATCGGTTCATCGCATCGGAAACAAAAAAGCGAAAGAATTTGAAACGCTTATCACGATGTTTTTAGTTGGATTCAGTCGGTAACGCGTGAGTGAATAGTGGTGTTTGTTGCGTGGCTCAAACGAAATAAAAAATGGCACATGTTTACGAAAATGCTAAACTTGTGGACATGATTCTTATTTACGGGGGGTGGAGTCTTTACAAAATCGGTTTCCCAATCGAGTGCAACCAACCCCTCGTGCCTTTGTTAATGTAGTACAACGGGCTCGTGAATCAGGTGACTTAAGACCTCACAGGGGAGTGCATGCTGGATGCCGGTGCTCCAAGACCACCCGATCAAATACAGGTCCGCACTGAAATACTTGTCGGGAGGATACTTTATAAAACAAGGTAAAATTTTTTTTTATTTTTTTTTATTTTTACACACATATTTTGGTTTATCTTCCTTCTACAATCACTATCTGAAAATTAATGACTCAACTTCAAAGTCACCCTGTAGATAAATTTTTATTTTTTGAGATACAGTAGAACCCCGATTATCCGAAATCCGCTTTATTCCAAACAGATCGCATACAATAGTTTATCCGTTTTAACCGAAGTTGTTCAGGAAATCGCCGCATGATCCGAAATAGCCGCTGATAGTTCCCTTTCGACGTTTGCGTCATTAGATTCGCGCCCGGTGATTCTCCAAGCGCGTTTGCGAAATTCACTGGTATGTGTGCGTGTATGTTTGTTTCAGTCAGTTTCATAATCGGTAAGATGGAGCAGCATATAAGGAAACGTACACGCGTTGTTATTACCATAGAACAGAAACTTGAGACAATCATACGTTTAGATAGAGGCGGTTTGCTTAAAAACGTGGCAAATCATATGGGTGTGACCGTGAGAACCATATCAGAATGGAAAAAATAACTTGAGAAAATTGAAAAGTGGTCCAATGTTCTGACATCATCGCAGCCGTCACGGAAAGCTATGAAAAGGAGAATATCAAAAAGTGGTAAATCTGTGGTTTACACAGAGTCGAGAACGTGGAATACCAATTTCCGGACCAACTCTAAAGCAACAGGAAGCCAACTTAAGTGAAGAATTGCCAGTTATTGAGGCGCCTGATAACTTGCTGCCAGTGACTGGCTGCATAGGTGGAAAAAACGACACGGTAAACGAGAATTAAAAGTTTGCGGAGAAAAATGATCTGCCGATAGGTCCGCTGCATTATAATTTGTAGAACATTTTAAAGAAGTAATGAAGCAGTATGGCTTAAATCCAGAACAAATTTTCAACTGCGACGAAACGGACCTAAACTATAAGATTAGCTTCAAAACAAAAATCTGGAGCCCCTGCTTACAAACGCAGTAAAGAACACAAACTTCCTTTGTTGTTAATCGGAAAAGAGCTAAACCAAGAGCATTTAAACACGTCCGTCCCAACGATCTTCCAGTGTGGTATAAAAATCGTATGCTGCTGTATTCCAGGACTGGTTTCACAATCATTTTGTTTCCAAGACCGAATGATATTTGAATGAACGCGTATATGCGTATATCCTAGAAAAAATGTGTTTTGTTATTAGACAATGCTCCGAGCCACCCAAAAGAGGAGCAACTTAAAAGTGGAGAAATACGAGTGATGTTTTGGCCTCATAATGTAACGTCACTGATTCAGCCAATGTATTAAGGAGTTTGAGAAAATTTAAAATGCAATTACACACGTTTGTTATTAGAGCAAATTTTAGTTAAAGTTGATACTGGTTCTAACCTCGTTAAAAGAGATTAACTTCAAGAATGTAGCATATTGGATAGCAGAAGCATGCACGCCAAGTAAAAAATCCTACTTTACAAAAATATTGGTCGACAATAACTGAGCAAGAAGTGGAACCTTGCACAGACTATGAGAATAACAACGAAAATTTACATGAGATCGTCGTAAAAATAGCAGGGTGTGAAAATCTTACCCAATCAGATGTTGGTGAGTGGATTAATGGTGCGGAATTGGTGGAAGAATTAACTGATACAGAACTAATCAGAAGTGTTTGTAACAATGGCGATGGGACAGTTTTAAGTACTGCTAGTGACAATGAGACAGAAAGCTCTGTCAAAATATCACATTCTATAGCAAAGTATCTTTAATTAATAGCTTCAAGCTAAGCAATACAATATATATATATATATATATATATATATATATATATATAACAAAAAATAGGAAAATAATGGGCAAAATCCGCAAAAAAAGGAAAGTGGATTCGAGCAGAAAATAGGATAGGTATCCCGAGCGATACGTATTTCTGCTGGTTGGCTTCATCAGGCCCGAAATGCAACATATGCAACTACAAAAGTAGATACACATGCTCATACATCCGCATACGGGTGTAACCTGAGGAAACAAAAATGGAGAGGGAAAAAATCACACACGAAGTCCACAACAAGAGCCAATCTACACATTGTAGTATAAAATGGCGGGCCTGATGAAGCCAACCAGCAGAAATACGTATCGCTCGGGTTACCTATCTTATTTTCTGCTCGAATCCGCTTTCATTCTTTTTGCGGGTTTTGCCATTATTTTCCTATCTTTTGCTATATTTATATATATATATATATATTTATATATTTATATATATATATATATATATATATATATATATATAACAAAAAGTAGAAAAATGCGGGTCTTGCCCACTATTTTCCTATCTTTTCTTATATTTATATATATATATATATATATATATATATATATATATATATATATATATATATATATATATATATATATATATATATATATATATATAACAAAAAGTAGAAAAATAATGGACAAAATCAGCAAATAAGAGGATTTTGCTCATTATTTTTCTACTTTTT